ATCAACCCTTCTGCAAAATTTTCAGCCTAATGGAATCCTCCGTTGTCATGAGTCCTTGCTATAAACACGCACAAGTTAAGGCCGAGCAATTTAAAAATGGCGACCGAAAAAGCTTGGGACAGAAAAAGCTATTTTATTGTATTACATTTGCTCTCTACACGTTCGATGTATGAGAAATAAGGTTTTCTGTGGAGATAAGTGACACTTCAAGAGGTTACATTCTGGAGGTGTTTGATGCACACTTTGTTTTGCCTCATCGTGGACCAATAGGTATAATTACGTGAAAATCACTTTCCCTAAGTTCGCGGAAAGAAATTTTTTGAAGGAAAAGTCATTCATCAACCAGTGCAGCCCACTTTGGCCCCACTGATGACCAGTCCAAAAGGCTTTGTCTATGTAAAATTGCGTCGGGATCAAAAATAATGGAATTAGCCATGAGCATCTTGGAGGATACTTAACATGCTTTGTCATTATGTACCTGTACCTGTATATTTACATGTACCCGTATCTATGTTATTGGCATTCACACTCCGAACAGAGTTTAGTTTTGTTTAATTTAGGACAATACTATTGCATTATTTTAATGTTGAAGTATTTCACTTCTGCAAACACCAAAAAGCGCTTGTCTGCTTCGTGTTTCAACTTTTTTCAGGTGCTAATGGACTGGCAAACCCCCGGGACTTCCTAACACCTCTAGTATGGCTTGAAGACAGAGATGTGTCCTCTGGTTTCACAGTTATCAGCAAATTCAAGAGAAAACTCTTTCAAAGCCATTCAGGTTTGATTTGGAAGTACTAATGGCTGAACTTCTTTGTAATACTGGAAAGAACATTTCATTAGACCAATTTCATGAAAATGAAGAAATGATCGTCGCAGTGGACGCAATTTTTGCAATTGCGTAAAGAAGCCTGAAAAAAAAAAATTCAGGACTTCAACGGGGTTTGAACCCGTGACCTCGCGATACCGGTGCGGTGCTCTACCAACTGAGCTATGAAGCCACTGGCGTTGGGGGCAGGCCAATTGGGGGTTCATATGTTCCGGTGAAAGAAATGAGTGTTAATGATATATGAAATAAATCATATGTGAACTGCGGAAATGAAATGAAAATGAAGAAATGATCGTCGCAGTGAACGCAATTTATGCAATTGCGTAAAGAAGCCTAAAAAAAAAAGTTCAGGACTTCAACGGGGTTTGAACCCGTGACCTCGCGATACCGGTGTGATGCTCTACCAACTGAGCTAAGAAGCCACTAACGTTGGGGGCAGGCCAATTGTGGGTTCATATGTTCCCGTGAAAGAAATGAGTGTTAATGATGCATGAAATAAATCATATATCAACTGCGAAAATGCGGAAATGAAATGAAAGTGAAGAAATGATCGTCGCAGTGAACGTAATTTATGCAATTGCGTAAAGAAGCCTAAAAAAAAAAAAAATTCAGGACTTCAACGGGGTTTGAACCCGTGACCTCGCGATACCGATGCGATGCTCTACCAACTGAGCTATGAAGCCACTGACGTTGGGGGGCAGGCCAATTGTGGGTTCATATGTCCCCGTGAAAGAAAAGAGTGTTAATGATATATGAAATAAATCATATATGAACTGCGGAAATGAAATGAAAATGAAGAAATGATCGTCGCAATGAACGCAATTTATGCAATTGCGTAAATATTGCATAAACTGCGTTCACTGCGACTTACGTTCACTGCGACATCATTACTTTTAATTTCAGCCCTTACTTTATACTGGCGAGATCCATTTTGTAATAAAGAATCCGAGAGTTTTCTGGTGTCTTGGTTGTTCATAGAAATAGATTTTGCATCTTGATCAAGACTAAGACATCTGGGTTTGAGAATTTTTGATTTTTATAGACTTTTTTTTTTTTTATTCAAGACATTTATTACCATAATTACAAAGAACTACTTAAAAAGAAAATAATTACAATGTTCTAAACAACCGCAATAACAGACATATTTACAATTATCTACATTTCACAATTATATACATTACAGCCACAAAACAGCCGCGCAATTGCCGAAAGAGGCTTATTTTACAACAGGAAACATTATGTCACTTTCTATTTTACTGTCAGTACTCAAATATGTTGTGGAAAAATGTTGAACAGTATTATTTAACAATAACAAAGGAATTTCACGGGTTTGGTTTACGAGAGGTTATAATTGGATAACGATGTCAAAATGCCCCTTGTTAAATTATCTGATATTAATTGGTAAATTGCATTTATGGGATTGCAGAAAGAAACAGGTACTTCCAAACATCGAAGGTTTCAAATTTAAAGTAAGAACTAAATATCAAGTTGAAAAATATATTTCCACTAAGAATAATAAATTAGAAACCTTTTATGATTTTTATAGACTTGGTGAATAACTCATGGTAAGCTAGGCCTTTTAGTAGGTTTATAGCTGTTGTGTGTTGTGCAGACTGCTAGGAGTAGCAGTCAAACTAAATACATCCTGTTTAGAGCGATTTTCACTTGACTGTCGTAAAACCAAAACCAAAGTAAATACACTAGCCAACCAAAGGGCGTAGTAAAACCAAAACCAAACCAATTCCTCAATTACTTTCGACAGTCAAGTGAAAACCGCTCTAACTGGGCGAAGAAAATAATGAAAAAAGATGTTATATTTGGGTAGTCATCTGAATGTGATGTCCTGACATGACTACAAACCTTACACTTGCTGTCATACATGTGCAGCATGTATACCCCATACACCACACACCTAGGTATTATAATTATTTATTTCACATGCTTTATTTGCAAGCATGGATTGAAGAAAGTAGCTGAGTTCCTAATGATGGGACACAAACCTGTGACCTGTCTACACCAGATCATTGCTGTGACCAAATCTCTTTATTCTTTGTAGGACCCATCAATATTCACTGTGTTGACTTGTCCCAGTTTAAAGCCTGGAGTTGCTATAGCAGATTTTGTTATATTTCCACCAAGATGGAGTGTTGCTGAGAACACTTTCAGGCCACCTTACTATCACAAAAAGTGGCGTTTTGAAGGTTATAATTACAGTGTGAGTGACTCAGACTTCTGCTGGACCTGACCAAAATTACAGATGGGTCGGAAAATTTTGGCTATGTAGTGTAGCAGTGGTGTCCTTTAACAACATCCTGTGGCCTCTCTACCCTACTTTTGCGCCTAGATGACTAGGAAGTCTTAGTTTTTCGTTACAAATCCTTAGCTGGGCACCCTGGATTTCACAGGCTCAGAGCACTGGGCTTCCTTTCAGTTTTTCTTGAAGCACAGCCTTGTGTAGTATGGATGTGGCTTGTTTCATGTGCTTCCTATCCAAATCAACAAGTATTCATGCTTTAAATGTGTAATGTCTATGACTATTTTAATATCACAGGAATATCAGCGATCGGATACAATTGTAGATCGTAGAGCCGTAATTCCTCTCATCAAAGTTTGTGAAGAAACTACTTTACTGGGGCAAACAAGAATAGCAAATAAATTCAAGTCTCATCAAGGCTGTAGGTTGTTTGGCATTTGTTTGAATTTACAAAGGATCTTGCATCCCATTCCCTGGAATACAATTGCAGGGGCAGCAGACAACTGCAAACTAAATTCAAGTTCAGAAAGAGAAAGAAAAATTAGTCGTCGCTTGTTTACGTCCTCCATAAAACGTCAAATTAGACATTTTCAGCATTTGCAGTGACGGCAAAGAAATAGACAAAAAAGCGTGATGCTCGTGCAGAGTTGTTGTTTTGCCTGTACAACAAATTGCTTTTTTGACGTTCTCGTTGCCGTCGCCGTCGTGGTATCTTAAAGTCCCTATTAAGAATAATACAAGGAGATGCAATGTGAAGGAGGCTGTTAAATCAATATACAATGTATGGTCCGAGCAAGAGTAGAGTCTCCCTCCTCACCTTAAAGAAAAAGCATTTTAAATTATAATGACAGAAATAGGAAAATGTTGAGGTACCCTTAGCAAGAAATGTGTCCTTCCCAGCGTAAAAGAAAATGTTTAAGAGATTGAACTTAAAGCGCCATGTCTCTCAACCGTTACTTTTAATTTATGAACAGGAAACTGTATGAGTGAATTCATGGGATTGATTTATGGAAAATACGAAGCCAAAGTTAGTACCTAGTATTTATTATATTCCAATTATTTACCTGCAGTTTGAAGGTTTTTGTTTTCGTTTTTGCTTTTTGTTGGAGAGCGAGCCACACCCTGCCTCTGATCTCAGCTAAATTTTTCACTTTTTTAATCTTTGAGGGTGCTTTCAACTGGCTTACATGTAATTGGTCAAATCAAGGTGAGATTTTCCGAAGTTGAATTTTTGGGGAGCACATCAAAGTTTAAAAAAAGGACCAAAAAAAATCGTTTACATGCTCTACAATATGTCCCATTGGAACGTTTCACGTTTTAGTCGAGCCGTGAGAAATGTACAAAAAAAGCATGATGCACGTGCAAAGTTGTTCTTTTAGTGATCAAACCTATTGCTTCTTTGACGTTCCCGTTGCCATCGGCGTTGTGGTTGCTTAAATTCACTAGTATTCGTCAGAGACTATAATATTTACGGTTTTTTTCTTGTCATGTTAGGAGGAAGGATTTGCCCCAGGGGGTGGTAGTCTGCATAGCATGATGACTCCTCATGGACCGGTTAAGGATTGTTTTGAGAAGGCGTCAAATGCAGAGCTGAGACCCCAGCGAGTAGCAGATGGAACTATGGTATGTATAACATGAACAGTGCATAATTAATTCAAACCCTAGCCTGGCGTTTTTAACATTACCAAATGGACCAGAGTAAAGAAATTGTATGTTCGCCATGACGGCATTCATGACCATTGTTTAGTGGTTACTTGAGTATAAAATTATTGCAGCCGGTTTAAAATCAATAAATGTATTGTCAAATGGCCGGGACAGCTGTTGACTCAAAGTGTTCTTTTGTCACAGTTTCAATGGATATATACTCTGCTTTGGTTCTTTTTTGCCCTTGCTTTAAATTTTATTTTCCTATGTACATCACAAAACGATTATCAGACATTACCATACCCACAAAAACAAAGGAAAATTAAACTTAAACCAGGAATAAAACTGAATCTCTACATATACCTGAAAGGATTTGCAAAAAGTTACCTACTTGTTCTGCACAACTGTTCCTCATTCATTCTTTATTATTAAAAAAACTATTTGTCTCAGTAGTAACCGTAATAAAAACCAAAAGTGTAGCCTTTGTTTTTTCTTCTTTCTCTCCTTCACTTTTCCTTTCGATTTTCTGCTTTGGAGTGATTTTCAGGTTTGTTGGAACCAACAGAACTCGCATTTTGGCCTTATTCTTGTCAAATGGTTACTTCAGCTTAGGCTCGTAGGATGAGATTTAGCTACGTGGAACTCCATGGCTTACCTTGATCGTTTCCACATCTATCATCATGACTATACTGGAAAGCTTTTCGTGACAAAGCTGTTCGGTATTGTATGAACACCTATCCGATATAAAAAAAAATTCTGTGACTCTCCCCTTTAGAGATCAGCGCCGCGCCGGCAGGACTTTTCCGCGGGTGGCGGGTAGCGGGTGGCGGGTAGCGGGTGGCGGGTAGCGGGTAGCGGGTGACGGGTAGAGGGTGACGGGTGACGGGTGGCGGGTAGCGGGTGACGGGTGAAGGGTAGCGGGTGGTGGGTAGCGGGTTAAAAATATATATGAATTAAAATATTATAACTCGTTATAGTGTAATTGAAGATATAACTGTATGTTGCAATTTTAAAATAATTTCACCGTTTATGTACTTGTCTTATCTACTTACGCGGACTATTTTCAATTTCTCAAATATGGAAAAAAAAAGGAGAAATCATGCCTGTGAAAACAGTCATCTCTCCTAGTCCGCACCGCAAGTGACGTTTCGCCAGGCTACACGCGGTGTGTCAAATAAAAATGGGCTGTGTCAAGCATGACACATGACACGTGTCGAAGCGAATTTTTTGGTACATGCATCTCTACCATGCCTTGTTAAGTAAGCGGACGTGTGGTTAGAAAGAAGTCCGACTTCTTAGTTAGGTATAAGCTTCTGCAATAACGGGTGTGAAAGATAAATAACTGCGAGAAAGAGACTACATTTACTGCCATATAAAACAACGTGGCAGGTCTATTATGGTTATGATGGGGGGGGGGGGGGGGGGGGGGGGGGTATGGATTTTTTCTGGAGCTACACAATTCAGAAAAAGTGTAATTTCCCTGCACAAAATATTGTTCGATGCTTATTATTAATAATGATTGTTGACAAGTTTGCCACACATACTTGTATATCACGGCACACCTTATGTCTAATAATAACCACACAATTCACTACTGATTGAAGAAATCGTGATGTACAGCGTCGTTTCTTTGTTAATTGTTTTAATTTCTATAAAAGGTAGAAAAGATCTTGTTTGTCTAGTTTGCTTTTTCTTCCACATCAAGACCAAAGATGATTGCACTTCCCCAACTGTTTAGCCGTGTTTATAACAGGCTGCAAGAGACTCGGCCTTTGGTGTCGTAGCTCAGTTTTTGCCCTCGTATGCGGCATGATTGCCATCCTAATAAGTATTTTTAAGTAGTATTTAAAAAATGCAGATCCTTTTTGTATATATATACAACGAGATCAGTTCGCGTCCGAGACGCCACACACGGCGAAAACGGTCCATGCTGTGTCAAAACCGTCCTTCTCTGGTACGCATTAACATTGACAGCTTTGTTGTTTTAGTCTCAGGAAAATTTCCTTGTTTTCTCGAAATAGACATTTTGTTCATTTTAAACTACAAGTCGTGGACCAAATTGGCAAAGATTTATTCCACATGCAATGTTAATCCCAACTTATAACAAAAGAACAAACGCACTTGTCAAAAATCTGAGACACTGTTCAAACATGTCGAGAAGAGAATGCGATCTTAGTTATCTGGTCTCAGGATAAATATTACTTTAATTTTTATGAGTTCCTCAAGCTATCTCGTGCAAGCAATATCGTGTAGAAGAATATTGCTAAAATATCGCTTTTTGTAATGTTTATTATCTTTTTTCTTTTTTTGGTTTCCACTTTTTATTTTTATTTTTTTTATTTTTGACGGCCTGACAATTTGTCACCCGTCACCCACCACCCGCTACCTGTCACCCGCTACCCCTCACCCGCTACCCGTCACCCGCTACCCGTCACCCGCCACCCGTCACCCGTCACCCGTCACCCGCCACCCGCCACCCGCGGAAAAGTCCTGCCGGCGCCGCGCAGCTTCGCTCCGTTACAGAAATCGCGCCGAAATCACCGTTCCTAATGTGTGAACAGAAGCCCTATCTGGTATGGTTTTCGTGCCAGCACAAAAGCTATCAGGTATCAGGGTATGAACACCTATCCGATATGTGACTCTCGTCTTTAGAGATCGGCGCCGCGCAGCTTCGCTTCCTTACAGAAATCGCGCCGAAATCACCGTTCTTATGTGTGAACAGAAGCCCTATCTGGTATGGTTTTCGTGCCAGCACAAAAGCTATCCGGTATCAGGGTATGAACACCTATCCGATATGTGACTCTCGTCTTTAGAGATCGGCGCGGCGCGGAGCAGCTTCGCTTCGTTACAGAAATCGCGCCGATATCAACCGTTCTTATGTGTGAACAGGAGCCTTATCGGGTATGGTTTTCGTGCCGGCGAAAAAACTATCTGGTATAGTGGAAACATAGCCTTAGCTGGTTTGGGAATAGTCTGCTACACAGCCGTTTTTAGAGTCGTCACGCGATGAGGAGCGTTGCGTGACGACACTAGAAACGGCTGTGTAGCAGACTAGTTTGGGAATTGCTCTATTCATTTTTTTTCGTTGTAGGCGTTCATGTTTGAAAGCAGTCTCAGTATGGCCATCACAAAATGGGGAAATGAAACATGTCTGAAAGTGGATCATGATTACTACAAAGTATGGGAGCCGTTAGAGAAACATTTCAATCCAAACTGGAAACCAGATGAGGAAAAGAAAGCAAGCTAGCGTTGAGAACTTAAAAAAGATAGGGTTCAGGGAGGAAGGAAGGAGGAAGAACAATGTTTGGCGGCCTGAGTGAAGATTTTGTGGTGAAAATTCGTTCTCAGGTTAATCCAGGATTTCATTTGTCTTCTAGGGCTAAGAAACAAAGGAAATTCTGAATCAAACTTAGCTCCTAAGTAACCGTTCTTTGTGCTTAGGCTGCTTGGTTGAGAGAGCGCATTTTACCTACAATGCGGACACCTCGTACGCCTTTACACGGAATAAGAAAGTTGGGAAATTATAGCCATTGCCAGGAGCCCAAAAGAACTCTCACGGCTTATTCATAAGCCTATCAGGTTTTGGACATCTTAGATTACTTTCCCCGTAGAAGCAAGAAACTCTGCTCTGTCTGTCAGTTGCGCCTCTGTTGTATGACATAAGAAAAAGTGAAAGCAAAAATAACAGCAACAAGACTAAAACAAAAACAAACAATTCTACATGTCATCCAAAACCACTAAAAGTCCGATGTTTGCGACCTTATTTTTTGGTGATCCTGTGGTACTCTAAACTCGCGTCGAACGCATTCTCATCAGTAAAGAGTCTTGACTCGAATAAATGGCAGGTGAAAGTCCCGTGTTATGGCCTCCTGTCACTAAAAATGCTGTTCTCGTGGAAAGCATGCAGTGCGCCTGAAGCCGAACACGACTGGCGCTTTTAGGGACGCGCGAGGGAGACACTCTTCTCTCGTGTGTCTTTGTCGCGCGCCCCGTTTTTTCTCGCTTATTACTTCCGAGCGCCTGCTACGCAGCATAAAGTTAGTAGGGCCGGGCGATATACTCGAAACTAGGAGATGTCTGCATGCAGGGTGACACCTGAATTAAGATTCTTACACGGTTTAAGGCCTCTTAGGACAAATCAGGGAACAAAAATATGTTTATATGGAGAATAAACAACGGATATTTTTAAACTAAAATGTTGATTGGTTCGAAGTGCAGCTATAATGGCAATCTGTTGGGGAAATAGCGGTCTTGCGAGCAAGCTCTCCCTTGGTTCTTTTACTGACAGTCGCTGCCCTAGGTCGTCTCTTCCCACCCCTCTCCATCTGAATTTCGTGCGTGGGTTGGTCCTCAGCTCCCGCAAGCTTCTGTTTCCCCAAGGTAGCCTCCTGATAAATAAACCAGCTTATTTTCGAAATTTGTAATTTTCCTTTTTAGTCTCCCTTTTAGCAGAAAATATGAGAGAAATAACACTCCGCCTTTATTTACTGTCCTGTCGAGCGCTGAAGTGATAATACGCAAGGTGATAATGCCCGAGACTACCTCTGTTGAATATGAAGCATAACGTGAAGCACTCTTTCAACGCAACTAAAAATGCTGTGCGAGTGAAAGCTTTCTGGCAGTTTCCTCAGACCAAAAAGTTGGTAAACGGTTACTTTGGATTGTCTAGCATAATAATCATGACTTGATTCAATTTATCAAACACTAGTTGTAGTGTTTCATCTCTTAACAAGAAGTGGGTTGAATAAGCGAACTCTGTTTATAGTCAACAGTAAAATTTTGCCAGACCAGGTGCAGTAAAGTCATGGGTATGGGTCAGATTAAAAGAGGATACTTCCCCACAGCCCCCTTCTTGGACTGGATAGATTGTTCCCTTTGGGAAATCTCTCCCAGGCTACAATGTAGGTCAGGGAATCTCGGGTTTCGGCCCACTGTATGTTCAACTGCGTTATAATAATGGACCTTCATACAAAATAAGTCAGAAACGAATAGGCACTCAGAATATCAATTTTAATTCAACTTCCATTTTTCAAACATGGCAAGAGTCTTGAAAACAACACAACACTCTAACAACGCTGACTAATCAAACTGAAACTTAATTAACTAGACGATATAGGCGCTTAGAACGAGCACTCTCAGAATGGCAAATTATAATAAACAAAATCAACGTAACTCTGATGTGAGTTTCAACCAAAACAGTGGGTATAAATTAAGCACTGCAAATCTCAATCTAATTTTCAGTTACATGGTGTAAAGAAATACTGAAAGGCCCACCAGCTGATTCAGACGGCATTTCAGAAGTGGGCCACCCCAGGAAACGGCTAAAAAACAGTTGTGGAAACACACTGCGAAAAACAGTTTTCCCTTTGATTAAAACTGAAAACCAAACGCTAACAAAAGGAAAAAACTAACAATCGCTAAGTATACTTAAGCCAAGAAAGCTATTTTTCGAGAGCAACACTGCAAAATCATTCCAAAAAATATAGCTTAATCGGCAAAACGTCATTGAATTCGAAAATGCCATTGCCCCTCATTTCCTCCATTTTCAGAAGAAACGAGGTTGCATTTGCCGAATAGAGGCCCGTAATTGAGCTCATTCATTGATCTCAACACACTTTTAAAACCTATCCTTCTGTTTATATATTGGCTAATAAAGTTGAAAGAGTTGTGAAGTGTTTCTTGGTGTTGCGGAAACCTTTGTCGGTTCGCTTGTGTGTTATCGTGGGGTGGGTATTGTTCAGTGTCGTTCAGTTCCTGGGAGGGGAGGGGGGAGGGGGACTCCCTTATATATATATGTGCCGCCGCATCGGGTAGAGTTTTTGCGCAGTTTTGGTCTGAAAACGGGTATAGACTTTAACCATTTTGGTCTGGAATCGGGTATGGTTTTCAAGGGAACTACGGGAGTGTATGAACGTATTTATAGTTTCAATTCCAAATGAGGAAGTAAGAAAAAGAAATATGCGAATTAGACATAGATGTTAAGAAATCTTTTTTGACGCTGTTCTAATCTAAGTAATGATGACGCAATTTCTTAGAGGCGAGGTCTGAAAACGGGCATGGATTTTTGGGGTCAGGGGCCCGTTTCTCGAAAGTCCCGATAATTATCGGGCCTGGTAAGCTGCTGCCTTTTACATTAAAGATCGAAGTTTCAATAGTTTTGGATCTAACATGATGAAACTATCAGTTAATGAAACAAAATGGAGTAGTTTGCTTGGCGGGACTAGCACTCTTACTCTTTATATTTCGATTTGAATATTTGATTTCGGGCCCGAAAAGTTACCAGGACTTTCGAGAAACAGGCCCCAGGTGTGGAAAAGGATGTGAAAATGACAGATTTTAGTCTTTCTGGTCTGGAGAACCGGGCGGTACACTCCCACCAAGAATTCCCAGGAGTACCCCCGCCGGGATCCAGTTTGTAATTACAACACCAACAAGAAACTACCCAATTGTATGACTTTTGTACGAATAAGATATTCACGAAGAAAGATATGAAAAAAAAAGAAAAAAAAAATTCAACACACACAATATATCCCTGTCACCGGAAGGTAACTTCAGACAGGGGAAGAAGTAAATGAAATGTGACTTAAGCCCGGGACTCCATTCAAAAGAATGCGTTATTTAACGTGGCCACCTTGTGCAAGATAAATGAGAGATTGGGTTGCACGTTGATTTGAACGCTCACTTCTTGCCAGTTAACACTGCAGTCACCCACTTTGTCCTAAGAGGAAAGAAAATGCAGTTCAGATTCTAATGAGTAGAGTTAAGCAGCATAGTCTTCCTGCGAAAAATTTTCACGACATTCATGGGACGAACTGTCTACTTCTTTGTCAAACATTGCCTTCAAAACATGAAATTTTATTCGAGTCGAGATGACTTTAAGCTACGTGGGCCAACAATGTTGGGAGTTGTCCCGTCCGTGTGGGCGGTGGCGTGCAAACGGATGCAAGAATTCATAACAACACGCAATAACATGCAACAATATGCAACAGGGTGTGCAAACGGACGCAACATGTAGCATCCAACAATTTTGGGAGTTTTTGGCCAACAATGTTGCGCCCGTTTGCACGGGGCTTTTGAACTGTACATATCGTTTTCTAAATTCATATTATGACTCTTCATTTCACATCTATTAGTGACGGTCATCGTACCTCAAATTCGAAATCGCCAAGTGCTGTTCTTGTATCATCATGGAAGTTGAGCACCACTGCTTCTAGCCAGGCATTGTCTGTATTTCTGGGGTCATCCACGTATCCTTTGTAAACCTGCAATCCGGATATTTTATTTTATGGAGCGAATTCAAAGGCAGAGCTAATCACTCTAATATAACACACGTAGAGTCTTACACGAACGGGTGAAATCAAGATTGGCATATATAAGCTTTATTTCTGATTGTCGAGAAAGTGACACAAGATTTCGTAAGCAATGATGAAAGCGAAAACAGCGTAATGTAGCTTATGAAAACGCAGTATTAAAACTGCTGATGATCGATGGCTATGGTTACGACGTTGTTCAGTAAAAAGAATGTACGAGTAGTATAGCACCGATGAAATTCAGTGGAATCTCATTAATATCCTGTGGAATACATTTTAAAATTCTGTGACGTCATGGCCTTTTGTCTGATATCTCATGAATAAATTGAGGCGGGATTAATTATCTTGCGGTGTAATACAGGAGCGCTGCTGACGTCACAGCCTTTTGTCCTTATCTCATGAAACTTCCCGTTACCCTTACATCGTAAATTAACCCCAAGTTAGGGCTCAAAAGTATAGCACTAACGCCGCAGAAAACATTAACATGGGTAAGAGGTGCTGATACATCCAGTCAAACCCCTACACAATAGGACAATTGCACGATGACGATATTTGACTACAACTACCACAATTCATTTCGGTTTTGCTTTGTTATTTAAATTTGTCAATCCCGCTGAGGATTACAGAACAATAGCCTTAATTTGCATAAGAAAACAACAAACTCAAGGATTCTGGTAGTTGTAGTCAAATGACGTCATCGTGCAATTGTCCTATTGGAACCCAAAATTAAAAGCCTTCCTTTCCTCTGAGTTTTTAAAGGACTCATTACAGCCAAATCATCAAAGAATAGCAAACAAAAATTATTATTTTTTCTAAAACTACCTCGTTGGCACTTTGGATTATTGTATGGAGATGACCTTCCAAAGTATCTTTGGCGATCATGGGTTTAAGAGATGGGACAACGGTGTTCCTCAATGACGTTGTCAATGCTTCCGGCACTGAATCCCCAACCATGATCATACCCTGAAAAAGGAAAAAATTCCATCAATCTCTTTTTCGTAGAACAAACTTTGAGGTTAAAGCTTACAAATGGCAACTTCTTCCAGTCCATTGTGTTTTGAATTGCCCATTACTCGCCCTTACTAGATCGCCCAGTATCATAATTAACGCTTGCGAAAGAATCACTAGTTAGTTCATCTTCGTGACAAACAAATATGCGTTTCTAGCATTAGATTTCAAGCTACAAACGATAGAGATGACTTTTAAAAACAGTATGTTAGGCTAACAACTATTAAAAAACCCCGATTACAATCCGTTTTGGTCTTCTTCACTTTTGTCCAACCGTGTCTTCTTTTGTATTTGCTTTGTTACTTAAAACTTTCTTTGGTGTTTTAACGGTTTATTTTTATGCTTCTCTTAGTTTGGTGTCTTAATAATTCTAAATTTCGTAACATAGTTCCTTTATGAAACACAGCAAATTGTGAGCTGCTCAGGCCACTTAAGGCATGACTACCTAATGAAATATGCATATTTTCTTAAATGCTATTTAAACCGGTTTGCTTCCATCAGTGATCCTGAAAAGTGAACTACAAATGTGGCTCAATGAAAAAAAAAAAAAAAAACGAGTAAAACGTGATTTCAATAACACGTGACATTGCCTCGTCACAAAAAAAACGTTTTCCTAAACGGGGAGGGTAGCAAATCTTAACCTTAGGAATTTTCACCACCAAAATGTTACATAAACAATGTAAATCGTAAATTCGCCTTGTATGATTGGAAATGTTATTTTTCCTATAAGCTATTTCACTAATCAACAAGTCACGTGACCCTGTTCCTTTTATTTACTGATACCTATACACACATACAGGGAGAATTTTTCAGAACCTTATTAATAGCCTCTAGAAAGGAACCTAAAAGAACTTGTTGCTCTTTCATTATCCTTTCCCCATTTGAGATTACATATTTTTGCCCGTTAATTCCCAATTATCAGTCACGCGACGAGAATTTGAACTTCTAAAATGTCAAATATTGCTAAGACCATTAAGCTACATTTGTAGTCCAATTTTCAGGATCATTGATAAAAGTAAACCGTTCTAAATTGTATTTTATCAAAATATGCATATTTAATTAGATAGTAATGCCCTAAGTGGCCTGAAGAGACTTAAGCCCCTCTTCCGCGTAACCTTTTGTAACCTTCGCTCGCTAGCTCTACTTTATTATGACCTGCTAAAGCACTGCGCTAGTGCCACAGATATCATAATGATGCACCTCACCCCAGGAATCTCCCACTCCAAGTTCGCCTCCGGATTTTCAACGGGCATTGACTCCAGATAATTCTTGCCTTGCTTGTTTCCATCTTTGCTGGACTTCCGTCTGTGTCGAAACAACATAACAGGAATTTACTAAACAATTATATCCCACTACTTATTTTTACAAGGAGCAAAAGCAATTTGTCTTTTTGGCAATGGAAAGACAAGAAATATACCGTTTTCGTATTCTTGAGCTCCGTTGAAGGCTGACAGTCAGAGAAAGAATTATCACCCGAAAAAATCTAGGCTTACTAATCAAAGTTCCCTCTAGCTTCTAGTAACTCCATTTGTACATTCAACAAAGGAGGACATGAAGAACATACTTCAACCCCATTGCCCATTTCACATCCTTTAGACTTTTAATAGCCAAAAATTCCAGAACTTGTTTGCCCTTCTCTTGCACAATCGTTTTATTTTCGTCCATCTTCCACCTAGATAGTAAAGTAAAAAATAGGAAAAAAGGATTGCTTATTTACACGAGCAAAGCATTAAAAAGAATTAATGGATAATTTAATAATAATGATTTAATAACTGAATTAATGTATGAAAGATGTCCATAAAAACAAATCATGTTGTAGTGGTCGCAAAGTTTGCAAAAGCACGTCCATCTTCGGGATCACAGCATTAGAAAAGGTGGAAAATCATTAAGCGCAGGAGTCGTGGCTCGTAAAGTAAGGTCCATTGCACACGTTCCCAGAGAAACTGAAAAGAACAACGCACCTTAAGAGAACATAAAGTAGCTGAATCTATAACTTGCAAAACAGAAAATATTTTGCTCTTGATATAAAACTGTGCGAGGTCAAGATGGCTGGATATTAGTCGAGTTCTCGAGGTCGATAGAAACGCAAACAAAGCCAGAACAAGCTTGGTAAATAAAGGATTTATTATATGGCCAAAAAGAGATGTTTTTCTTGCAGGACCAACGCGTACAATCCCGAGCGGGCAAAATGGGCCCATCTCGCCAACTCGAGTAGCCAATCAAAACGCAGGATTCGCTTTATCTTGCCCGCCCGCGGATTCAGGCATATAATAAAGGCCCGTCTTACCCGCTCGGGTAGCTCATCAGAACACAGAAGTCGTTTCATCCTGCATTGAAGAAGCTATATAATATCTTCCCTCGTAAACTAAGCAGATTTAGCAAAGACGACGCGACGACAGTGCGCGCAGATCTAAAAACCGACTTGACGGCAAATCGAGCACCGAAAGTCGCGTTCAGCCCTATCTGCGTGCGGTAGGGTTTTCATTTGCAGTTTCTTTGTCTTTGCTAAATCTACCTATTACAAAAGACTCGACCTTGTGATGATAAGGTAAGCGGCGTGATTGGGTCCCCATCGACTAAACAAACCACGTCCTGAGAGACCAGTTCTGCCAACTGGGTTTCTGAAACCAAGAAAGCAAGATCATATCTTAGTATCCTTCCAGTTGCTTAGATGATCTAGTGCAACAAGTTTGTATCTTATTTAGGATCTAATGGAGAAAACAATTTTCCCAACCTTCTGTGCTAATGATTTGTACTAGGAAAACCTACTGAAGCGGGTTTTGGGAGAAAGCTAGGTTTCATGATGAGTAACTATCTGAATAGTTATGGGGTCAGGTGTTTCATACTTGCAAAGTTGACCTTTGTAGTGCTTCAAGTATGATTCTGCTGGGTAATTTATACTGGATCCCAGGAACCATCAGCAACATAGTTTGCCATTTTGGGTTGTACATTTTACCATGTTCTTCTTAACAGGCTGAAGTTACATCACTGATATACTTAGATTGTATACTCCCGCTTCATTTAGCTAATTACATTCCATTTGGACTGTGCATTGTTCCTTGCTTATTTTTGGGTTTTACATCCCAGTGCTCCTGGATCATTAAGCTCGCAACGCACTAGGCAAAGCGCTGCGGTAACCGACAGCAGCGACAGTTCGTCTCTTGTGAAATACCCGAAAAAGCTTACATACAATCAAAACTGGTTTGATTCAATTCAGACAACCCACTGATCTTCAAACCAACTTTGTGTAGAAGATTTCTCCTAATGACTGATGGTGGAATTTCATCGACAAAACGGAAACTCGAAAAAATTCTTTCTGAAGTGGAACAATCATTCACTCTAGACTGTTATCTAGGCAATGTTTAATTAACGAATTAGTGGCATATTTAGCACATCCACAGTGAGGTTCTTCGTCTATCATCCGGATCGAGTTAGAAATTGGAATGAATTTTCAGGAGATGGGAAAAGGAGAATACTCGGAGAGAACTACCGCACAGTTTTTAATAATATTGCGCAGTTGGAATTCGAACTCAGGCCGCGTTGCAGGTAGTGGGGGAGTGCTTTTACCACTGCCCCACCCTTTTGATACATTCCAATTCTCCTCTGTTGATACGTTTCAATGTGCTATAATAGTGGTCTTGCTCCAACAATAAATCATGCCTTCAATTTACCCTTCAACGCAACAGTGAAAAAGTGATGGCAAACTCTCGCCCGATAATAAAGAAGGGTCTTTTAAACAATCTGATTGTGTGCAACACGTTGTGTTAAGTAGAACAGACTCTCCATGGGTGAGAAGGAACCTAGAATGAAGCCTGCTCTTTAACCAAAGAAGTGAGAGACGTGCCGCAGTATACTAGCGCAGACATCAACCTTCTACACCATTCCGTCTGTGTATTGCTCTGTTTTTGGTACCGATTGATGAGATGATATTTTCTGCCATTGGCAATGAGAAGCTGCGTTTTGATGTAATCGTTATTTAACACTGCAAAACGCTGTTCGTTGAACTTGCAAACATGGGAAAGGGCAGGACAAATGCATCACTGTGATTGTACTCATTTTGCCCTATCCTTATCGACCGATTTTTGCTTTGTAAAATGTGCTACAAACCACGTTACCTGTCTACCTCACTGAACGTTTTAAGATAAAAAAAAAAAAACTAGGCGCGCAGGTTTTTACCTAGGCAACCGATCGACCACTTCAATCTTCCTACAATAGCTCCGTCTGTTTATCCCATTTTCGTCGCAATTAAATTTGATGACTAAACTTGAGTTACTGGGGCTGAAAGTGAAGACAAGACATAGTTAATATCGTACCGGCTTTAAGTTACCTCTGTGACATAGACTGATTGACAGCGATCAAAAGCCTTTCCAGAACTAATTAGCTTTCAATTGCTTTTCTCAGTTGAGAAATTTTCAAGAACTGAGCAATGTCCGTCAAAACTGAGGTTGTTATTTTTCTGTTCAAAGTTTAAACCACCGTGTTGCTTGTAGCTGTTGATTTCCGAAAGCTTTTCAAATCTACTTAAAAAGTAAAGGTCACGCAACGGTGCCGACAAACTCGTTCCCGGGTGCGGGAATTTATGATTGCATGCTACATGTCGAACCTCGCTTGTGGTCAGAAGAAATGTATGTTCATTATTCTCGTTGAGATTTGTTTCATGATGGAAAACAAAAAAACGGTAGAAATGCCGCGATCGTCATCAAAGTGACCATAGTAAAATCAACGAAAAAACTTGACTTCCAAAAAAACAGATGCTTACTCCATAATGTCAGGGTCTGCCCAGGTCGACGATGCTTGAATTCCTTGTGCGGTGTATGATGGCGGATCGTAACCTGGGAAGGACTCCTTTGGAGAATAAATTATAGTATTTATTGTTAATGGAATCCCAAACATTGTACAGCAACCCAATAAAGCAGCTTCTCTCCTGTTTACTTCTATATAAAGGCTATTTAATTGAAAAACTGAACAGATTTAACGTTCAATCATCCATGAAGGGTTTGTTAAAAATCATACTACAATCATATGGTTACAATAATGATGACTAACAAAACTGTGCAAAAAATCAGTTGCAATTTGGCCACTTTTAAATTGACTAAACTTCGACTAAGGAAGATCATCCAAGAAAAAAAGTGGTTCTTAATTTTTGTTTTTCATGCCCTTTTCATGTCATGTCCTGAATCCTAACCTACTCCAACCCTCTCGCGCTAGACGAGACAAGTGATTGACATCAAGCGACATCAAGCGCCAGGCATCATTGAAAGAGGCAGAAAGGGGGTTGAAGTGCGCCTTGCCCATTTTCACCGTTCCGCCGTCCCTTGTGCATCGTGAGAGAGAGGACGAGGCGGTTCAATATCATAATTCCTGTACTCTCAAATTTTGTTTTGCACAATCTATAATATAATAATATTTCATACTTTTCAGTTAAAAATTTCTAGAAGATTAAAAAAATTCTAATAATAAAATATTAATCAACCTTTCATTTCAAATACTTCACAATAATAATAATAATAATAATAATAATAATAATAACAATAATAATATACACTTATATAGCGCCTTTCTCTTAGTGATCCAAAGCGCTTTACAATCAGTAAATACTTAGGAAACGAATAATTCAAATATAACGTCATAACAGGATTTAAAACCCCAACTGACAGGAGGCAGCCAGTTGGCTATTTAAAAGCGTGGCCGAGGATTTGAACTCGCGACGACCGAGAACAAATCCAGCAAGTGGCCAGAGCGGGACTCGAACCCGGGACCGCCGGATTGCAAGTCCGACGCGCTGACCACTCGGCCACGCTGCACAACAGTGCAAAGAAAGTATACACCTACATTTTGTCTGGTCACTAATCATGTCCGTAAGTATTAAACAAGTAATTACCTACTACCACTGAAGGCAGTTTTACGCTATGCTAAATGAGTCTATGTTTTTCGCAAATTAATTTTGGATACAACAAGGGGAACCCCTTAATTTGTTATTTCATCTCAAAGAACCCATATTTTGTGACCGCAAGTTATATTTTGACTCTTCTTACCCATACATCATGTCCTAGGAAACACGTGAACCTTAAGCTGTAAATCTTAGTTTATTACCGTGTGATATGGCTAGTTACCTGCCAAGCAACAAGGAAGTCCGGAACGAAAGTACGCTGTTGATTACTCTTTAGATGAGGCGACTGCCTCGCTCGCACATCTGTTATGTGTTCTTCAGATGATTTCTTTGAACTATCTTTGCTAGCGGTCTTCACTGGTCTTGTGGCGAGAGGAGAGAGACGTCTCTCTGTTAGGAGCAACAAATTTAAAGACGATAGTATCACGCGAAGGAAAGCCGATGTTTATTAAGCCTCATAGTCACTCCAACTGCCAAAACTCCACCTTTCTCCCTCCCGGCCGCCCTATCCCTCGCACGAGTCCATAGCTTTCACGAAGTATCAGCGTGAGCCGTTGCCGTATATACTATCACATCTGGAATTCGATGAAATCCCTTCTAAGCATCTGTTCAAAACGTCGTAGAATTTTGGAAAGAACGTTACCATTGCTGTTTTTTCTATAGATATGCACCAGCACCTATGCAAGGTGGAGGACGAGACACGGGCAAACTGTGCCAAGACTGTCCAAAAAAAGACCAAAAGAACAAACAAACCTGGGCGAGTTGAGGAAGAACTTTCCTTGGCCTCCGGCACAGGCATCAACAGTTGTATTAGATAAAGATGAAAATTTGTTATGATTAAGGTTGCAACGACAGCAGAGTTGTCATAGCAACGCAATGACGCTATTACCTATTTTACTTGCAGCAGTATTTCTTGGCACTGCCAAGTGTTCTTCCAAAATCTTTTACGGGAGCTTTTCCCTCCAATAGCGGCCTCGATGTTCGTGAGGTTTAAGCGAAATCTGTAAGAACGTTATCGAGATATTTTGGGCTGAAGTTTTTATGGTTACAAACACAGTAAAAAATGGTCAAACTTGATGTTTGGCCATTATCTGTAGAAAACGAAGCTCTTTTGACATGCAATTTCCTCTCATTGTAGTTTCAATCTTTTTAAAAACGTGTGTGAAAGATCGTGGAGATAGCTCCAGCCGATTGCTAGAAGTTTCGTAATTAGCAGTAAAAGCCTCTCATTGTTCAAGGTATTGTCTCCAAGTTTCATTTTCACGTGAACAGCACTAACTAACAATGCATTTGAAATATGCAAAAATGCTAGCTATTGTTGTGCACGAAAATATGGAACTTGGAGACAATACCCTGAAAAATGAGAGGCTCTCACTTGTAAACACAAAATGTTTGACAAAATATTAGCGTATTGTAGCCCTTATTTTACAGCCTTACAATATATCAACAATCTTGAAACTAAATGGTGATATAAATGTAAGGTTAATCTCAAGAATCTTAAAAATTATTGGCTAATTTGTTAAAGTAGACCAAAATGTTTGCAAACCGCAAACACGTTTTCAAAAAGATTGAAACTACTATGAGGTGAAATTGCATGTCAAAAGCGTTTCGTTTATTGCACATAACAGCCGAACATCAAGATTGTCCATCTTTTATCGTATTTCTAGCCATAAAACTTTACCCCCAAACATCTCGATAACGCTCTTAAGAATTTCGCTTACACTTCACGAACATCGAGGCCGCTATTGGAGGAAAAGCTCCCGTAAACGATTTTGGAAGAACAGTTCCCAGTGCCGAGAAATACTGCTGCAAGTAAAATAGGTAATAGCGTCATTTCGTTGCTATGACAACTCCGATATCATTGCAACCTCGATCATAACAAATTTTTGTCTTTACCTGATACAACTGTGGTGACAATTTTCCAAATTTTTGTTTATGGCGACGTAGTTTATGCTCAAACTTGAGAGGTATTGACCCTAAAAACTATATCGAGCCACCTTAATAACACGTAACAAACATGAATTTAAGTTATAATGTTCCATATTTCAAGGATAAAACCGTTGTGGACTATCTAACTATGAAAACCTGACATATTAAAATGATAATAATAACTGATAAATTATTAGAAATTAAAAGTGACATAAGAATTTCATCACTGTATTCAGGAGGCAGCGTGGCTGAGTGGTTAGTATAGGTAATAGCATGATTTGTAGTGATATTTGGTATAAATACCACGAGTGACATTTCAAAATTGTTATACGTTATTTCACGAGCCGTTAGGAGAGTGACATTTGAGTCAATTTGAAATATCACGAGTGATATTTACACCCAAATATCAGGTACAAATCGTGCTATTATTTGATTATACTACTAGGTTTTCAAATTAAGCTGAAATACCACTGCTTTAAGCCAATCAAATTGCAGAAATTTCTCATGTAGTGGTATAAGAGCGCTGAAATTGCAATCCGGAGGCCCCGAGTTCAATCCCCACCCTAACAGCTAGCTGGATTTGTTCTCGGCAGTCCCGAGCTTATCTCCACGGTGACTCTCGCAAATAGGGAGCTTGGGCAACGACGACGGTAGTCCAGGTTCGTCCCGTCTCTCTATGTCACGCAACACCGGGAGAGAGCGGGAGAGAGAGGGACCCCCTCTCTCTCCCGGCGTTGCGTGACATAGGGAGGGGGCGAGGGCGGAACTGGACTACGACGACGGTGACGGCGACGGCGACGGCGACGACAATGAAAACGGCAAAAAAGCAATAAGTTTAGATTAGCAAAATAACTTTGCACGTGCATCACGCCTTTTTGTACATTTCCTTGCCGTCTCTGCACGACTACGACTTGAAACTGCCCAATTTCACGTCTTACCGAGGACGTGAACACAAGGCAACGACTTCCTATTTCTTTTTCTGAAATATGACAAGGTCCTTTAGAATTCAACTTCTGGAAAAAATCGCCAACATTTGACAAATTAAAAGAGTTGGAATAAGAGCGATGAAGTATGAAACAGCCAGAATTCACTCTTTGGAAACGTCATCATTGCCTTTGCCGTCGTCGTTGCTTATTAGCTCCCTAATATTGAGCCAACTGGTTTTCCTCCGGCCAGTTGGGATTCTAATTAAAACTTGTGGGCCACAAGGAAAACTAATGGATTACCATTAATTGTGGTTCCCCTTTAAAGTCCGTTTTTTCACTTTTGTACCTAAGGCCTGGTTCACCAGGCCCCATATATTTGAAAACACAACTTTTCATACCCAACTTACTCGTCTTGCCACGAAACTGTTGTTCATTATATTGAAAACGGGGGCGTTTCATAATTTCGGTCTGGATAAATGTGCATGGTAAGCCCAACCATTTAAATATAGTTGCGTTTGTTATACATTTTATCCTGCGAAGTGTAGACAGCCGGGCCTAAGAGTGATTGTGCACACTAATTATACAGCTAATATAATACAAACACTTTCTATGACTGGAGAACAATAACAGTCCCACACTATAATTTTACCTGTCAATACGTCGGCGATAGATGGACGCCTTGATTTCGAATCGAGTTTTCCCAGTCTAGAGAATTCTTCATCACCTTTCTCGAACCGCTGCTTAACAAATCGACACATATCTTGGAGCTGGCTAGAAACTGAACCCATGCTGTCAGATTTGCAAAGGATAAAAGCATATCTATCATATTGGAATAATGGTTATATTTGTAAATACTTGTGAACATTTTTTGTGAGGTTTGAAACTCTTTTGGCAAATAAATATGTCGAGAAAGGACAAAAAAAGCAACAAAAACAAACAAACATAAACAAAACGAAACGAAGAAAAAAGCAATCGTTCACCACTGGCTACTTTACTTATTCTTAGTATCAAGAGCCATATTTTCAAAATTTATCAAAGTGCAGCCAATGAAAAGCATTTGTTATTTTTTGGCTCCACGCTCCTCCCAATAAAATTTTGTAAAAATAGTCACGAATTGATTGATCTAACTGACAAAAAATGTAAATAGAAGCGTAATTCCGGCTGGTTATACCTATCATTTATCACTCTGATTTGTTCTTCTTGGGTGGCACGAAGCAGTGCGTTTTTCTCTCTAAGGTATTCATCCACGCATCGCTCTTCGAAAATTTTCATGCTATTGTCATAGGAATTCCCTAGAGAAAGATAAAATACAGCTGCTTACATGGCGATTAACTGGTCAGCAATCGATTCCATTTTTCAGAACCACCTTCCCCTCTTAGCTACACTTTCATGAAATTTTTAAGTCACTCAAATGTCTGCTCTTCTAATCTCTTTTCTTAATCTAAATCCTATCGATCCCGGGTCACTGAGGCACCGAATCCTATCGTCTCCACCACCTTTACCTCGGTGGATTCGACTGCGAGATCAGCTTCGTTTTACATGTTTATGGTGACAGACCTAACAGTAAATGAAAGCTAACCATTTCGAGTCAGTGCTTAGCCCTAATCACTATTGTCAGTGTTTAACCGCATTATTATAGTCAGTTCTCAACTCTAATCACTATAGTCAGTGCGCTGCTTTGTGTAACAATCATGACGTGTCTAATGTGGTTCTGGACGATGGAATCTAATGTTGACCCGATTAACTGGTGTGTCATTAGAATGTGATCTCCCATCTTCTCTGTCATCAAAAACCATGAAAACCTAACACTGAAGGTTAGTAAACAAACTAAGATGAAGTTGTTGCGCATTCTTCTTTCATATATATCAGGATCGAATCAAGACACAGTTGTCTAAAAATTACCTTCTGCTCTCCCTTTTTCGATCTGAATAGTTCAGACCAGGAAGTTTTGGCGAACGTTGCTTTGGTTTTAAAAACTAGACGTCTTACTTGTCATTTTAGAAGCAGCATGTTGATTTCCATTTCGATTGCTAAATTTCTTGACACAGCAGCGGTACAAGAATCTTATAGCGTAGATCACATGATTCAAGATAATGAACGGTGGTACTAAGACAGGTCTCTGCTTGTATTCCATAACCAGATTGTAACGCTCAAACTTCCAGATCTGTTTTGCGTTGGTCTGCACTTTCTCGTACGTATTACTGAGATGCAAAGGATGAAAGTTAAATAGCTATAATAATATGTAAAGTAAGGGTAACGGTAAAGGCCCACCGGAGCTAAAGACTCAAACGGCCGGAGATTATATTATCCCGGTTTCCTTAGCATGAAGCATGCCTAGGAGTATTGCTACTCCCCCCTGGACGGGATGCTAGTCCATCGCAGGGTTACCCCCCAGCAGTATGTCGCCGCTACCCATTCATACACTCGGGGGGATAGAGACAAAGTGGAGTAAAGTTCCTTGTCCAGATCCAGAGTTCGAGGTGTTAACCGCTCGACCACAACCGCCTCCACAGGTGTAGATGTAGACATGTAGATAAAGAATGATGTAAGAATTATGGCATAAAAGGCGCACGTTGCGGATTCTCAAGCCATTTTCACCTTATCTTTTACAATTAATTTAGTGATATTTGATTGATATTTGATTTTCTCATTAAGAATGAGCTTTGGACACCATTAATAGTTAAGGTTTTTCAAGCGATTTTCATGCCCTTAAAAATATTTTTAGGTGTCTTTACAGTGCGACTACTATAACCGGGCCACCTAGACAAATTTGACCAATCAGATTACAGGAAAATGACAATACTTTCCGGGAAAGTTAGTTGTCAATCATAATCGAGATAAACAAAATGGATCGAAATCAACCAGTTAAAACCTACAGAAGTGACCTATGAAACCGCTGAAGCCCCGAAAATCTTTCCACCAGGGAATCTCTGTTGATGAATGACGGAGCAAAAGCATAAACATTATTCAGTTAGTTAATTTTGACTTGAGCTCGTGATGTTTGCAAAGCCGGGTGCGAAGCGCGGCTGGAAGCCACGAAAAATTTTTGGTGACTGACAAAGCCTGTGTAGCGTGGAAAACGAAATATGTCTCGGCATAGTATGTGGTGTAAAGGTTTCGAATAGAAAAACATTGTCGGAAACATTTTTAACCACATTAAAACGTTTACTATCAATATTTAATTCTGTGCTTTGAGTAACTTATTGCCATTTTGAACTGCTGATTGTTCCGGGACCAACTTCTTTGGAATGTAATTGTTATTTTCCTTGTATTCCACCATCAACTTTGTTCAACTGGCCCCGGAGCTAAAAGTAGTTCAACTTTTGTGTCACGGTGGAGACAGACCCTGGTCGATAATCGACGGTCTCCATCCCCGTCGAAGGCAATCGGACCCGATCGAGTTCGCTTCGCCAATCGTGGTGAGACAGCGCGGCTGGCGGTAGAGGCCAGATGACTGGTGCAACCCAAAGGTTCTGTCATGCCAACGAATTCGAGTTCCATTGTGTTCGATGCTGGTTTCTTCGGCAGCGCAAGCGACAGCTTCCTGACACCCTGCGCGGCGCCCGACTGGTTCGGCAATATTTTTCTTGCGTATTTTTGCCTCGACGTTACCGAATTTAGTTGAACTCAACCAGTGACAGCAACAGAGTTGAGTCGACAGAACCAGCGTTCGGATCATTATTACCATTTAAGAATGATTTTATCAATTTTTCCGCACGGTCTGTGTTCACGACCAGACGATTGCGTCACGTGTCAAAGTCAGTAAAACCACTCGCCTGCCACTCGTGGTTACACTTGACTTTTGAACATTTTGACGTCATTTCTATGGTCGGTTAGAGAACAGACCATGGAAAATTGTCGTCGATATTTTTACAATAACATTGGCAGTTGTTGAAATAAATTTAGGTTGAAGGTCGCGCGCGAGAGAAAAGAGAAAAACAAATTGTTCCACCATTACATCATTTCCATGGTCTGCCCTGTTATCGACCATAGCTCTCGGCAAAAGAGCGTGCGAGAAATCACTCAGTTATTGTAAAACTAAAGTTCGATTATCTACGCTAGGTCTACATGTAAATAATAGTACGGTGATAGCGTAACGAATTAGTCCACTGTTTATGACGATCTTTCTGTATGGAATTCTGGAATAAAAATACGCAGAAATTTGTGACCAATCCGTTCAATCCCCACTTTTTGGACCATTAGAAGACCACTTTCATCTCATTTGTTAATATCTTCCAGATTTCTAGATTTTCTTAGTGTAAAACAAGTGATATTTTTGTCTCTATTCCACGTTTTCTTATTTCGGAATATGGTCATTTGAACGAGCCCTAGGCAACTTTTTAGTAGAGCAATTTACTGTTGGAGACTTACTTGAAAATAGCAATAAGAAGATTTAACAGAAGAATGTTGACGACAAGCAAGTAAATCGCAGTCATGAATAACACCACTGTGTCCCCGTAGCTATCTTTTCTTGCAGTGCCAAAAACGGTCGCTGTGTTTTCAACTGGAATAAAATATACGAGACAATTATCGACCACAGCCAGACCCACATACACATAAAACCAGAAACCGTGGGACCACAGACCCATAGGCTCATAGAGCCCCAATCACAAATGGAGCACATTTCGAGCGTAAAGGATATCTTTATCGAAGATCAAATTAAGGCAAAGGAAAAAACGAGCTGAATAACGAAAGTTTTCTGTGGAAGTATGATTGTAACCGCGGACTATATATATTGCGCTCGACAAAACTTCTATTTTCGAATACATATTCACAAAATGGTAGCCATCACCTGGTATTCCGCGATTATCAAAACGAAATACTTACTTATATCTGGAGCATCCAAAAAGAGTTCTCCATGGGCCTGAAAGTATGGTCTGAAGAAGAACCGAGATGCCATGGACCAGGAAGGAACTCTCGTTGAAGTAGCCAGGATAGCTTGCGAGGAATTCCACAGGGCCAGGAAACCACGATCAGAAGAAATACACAAACTGAATAAGCCTGAAGCGAGTCAAAAAAAGACACAACAAAGAATTTTTGGTAAGGTTGCATCGGCGTTGGGGTGGCCTGGATTGACGCACACACACCATCAAGCAAAATGTCAAGCAACAAAGTAATAATAACAGTTAAGCAAAGAAATACGAAAAGCTGCAATGGTGTGTTTCGAGACTTCCCAAATATTTTTATGATCTTCAAAACAAGAATATCGAGAAATTTTCCTGAATGTGTTTTAATTGCTCAAGTTTTTTCAAAATGACGGTGTAAATTTCGATGTAAAAGTACTTTTGGATTCAGTTACTTGACTTCAAACAGAGCTGGTTGTTTTATGATGAGAATATATAACCTAGCATTGCTTTACTCTCATTAGGTTCAATTTGTTTTCACTAAAATGCGGGGAGCTATACGCTGTTCACTGGGTCGTATTTAATATAACAGGCCTGTAGTAGGTAGGGCAGGGGGGTTCAGAGCACCCCAGAAATTCTCCAGACTTGAATTAAATTCTGCCAAAAGTGAATTTCTACTGAGTGGACAGCCGTCAATGGAAGCCAAAGTTTCAAAGTATATTAACGGTCAGCAGTAAGATTATGTATTGTTGTTCTTCTGTGTAATTACCAGGTGTGTAAATGAACGAAATCGTATTTTGCTCTGCTAAAACAAACCAACGTTAAATATCTGCTTATTAAGCATCAAAATAGTCAAACAAAACGGATCGAAATGAATCCAATGACAATCCCAGAACTTGACTTTTTGAGCTTTTATTGGTTTCCGCAGATCGCCGGTGTAAAAATACTGTACTAGGTAAAATTCAGGTTTTGCGCGTTTATTTTGAAAGTCTTGCAATGTCTTTCAAACAGCCGAAAAAAAGGAATCCAAACAAATGAGTGGAATAGTTAGAACGCTTTATCGGCAAAACCATGCACTAGTGACAGAGTTTGGTAAGCTCCGGCGAAGAAAACAATCCGAATCAAAGAACAATCCCAAAGTAAATTACAGCTTGGCAAATTTTCCATTTGAAATACGTCATCTCAAACAAAGTTCTCATTTCGTCAAAGTCAACACAAACGGAAAATTAGAGACAAGAACAAAGGCACTAGACAACAATGTGGTGATCTGAGATGCCAAGAAGGCACATGCTTAACCTAGAGGGGACCAAAGGTGTGTGGTGTAGGTGTGGGGTTAACCGGGCCACCTGCTTCAGCCCCGGCCCCAGTCATTTATTACGCTGTTACGGCCTGTATAATCTAGTAGTTATGAAGTTCTATCAGCTTCGTTACCATGTTTTGAGGCTCAGAAAGTATTCCAACCAGGTTGGACTGAACTCGTTGGTGTTTTTGGCTCATGACTTCTCAATTGAATATTAATTTTTCGACTTTGACTATTTTATGTCAACATGTGACACTTAGATGCTGTAACGATCACATTATGTAAAGGATATGAATCATGCGTGCTTACAAATAATGTAAATGTAGTAAATTATGACTTTCAAAGAGAAATTACTGGAAATGACAGGTAATTTTTAAAGCTAAATTATTTAAATGATATTCAATAACTGTCGTCCTTACCATCCTGCCAATCATCACCAAGCGTCCATGTATTTGCTAACAAAAAGTGCATCAGAACAAACGCATAATCCACATAGCCACATCAAAGCAGTAAACCACATGACCTGCATAACGCGTTGGTGGATATAGTCTGAGTCCAAGGCCAATGAAAAACGATACCACTGCGAGGCCGTCGAGACGGTTCCAGTAACTGGAGGCCCAAGTTTTGAACTTGTTTTTCAGTGTTGGTGGTTCGGAGTGAAGAATCTACCAAAATCAAAGAAAGACTATCGTCAACTCGTGGGAAAGTTGTTTGGAAAATAATCAAATGGTTAACAACTCTGGTTTTCCCGCAGTAAATTGTGGGAAATGATAGAAGTTCAGATTGTTTATCCATATATTTAATATACTATCTTTTCTCTGGAAACACAATACTTTTCTTACTGTTTATTGCACTTTATTAAATAACAGTTATGTATTAAGGTATATATTTATAGAAAAACCAGAAATCAAAAACGGGGAAAAAAAGAAGGAAGGAAGGAAAGGTCTAAAGGTCTCGGGAGCAGGACTCGAACCCTAGGGCTCGTTGCGGCTCGTTACCTTAACCAACTTCACCAACTAAAACTGATTGCAGTGTCATTCTGGTGAAAATATTTTATTTAATGCCTGTGTAAACGCATATTTGAAGGCGTGAATGAATGAAAAAGAACATACATTGTGATGCTTTTACTGAGCTGATACACTGTCTGCGAAGTACGACGGAAACATATAGCCGGCCCCTGTTTCACTTTCCATTATTTCGGAAGCTAATGGTCAAAGTCACATCCATTTCTGGCTCATGCAGGTTCTTAGGAATAGCATGACATGATATTTTCTCATTTTAAGATCACTTTCCAGCAAGCTGGAATTTGTATATCCCCAGTGATCTTGCGGAGTCGAAGAGCAAATGCTCATCTTCTCGTCAATTCAATCCCGAAGTTAACCATCGTACTCATCTGAAAGACTCTTGCGTGTCTTAAATTTGGTAAGACCTCTAACCGTGGTGTAGAAAATTTGCCACAAAGAAAACTCTGAGTCTGAGCAGCGAACGAGCACGTTCTCATAAGAATTCGGACTAGCCTCGACCCAATGTCCGTCTGCTACGAGTGTGCGAGTGACTAATTTGCATATCCTTGTCCCTGCAATAACTCGTGGTACGCTCGCGTGTCCCCACGAGTTAAAAAGAGTAATCTTTCGTATAAATCGCAAACTGCATTGTTCCTCAGTTTTACTCAATATACACTATTTGTAACCCCTTCAGACATGAAAGTTGTGACTTAAAAGTTCAAAAACTTCAGGGCCAAGAGTTGTTTTATTAATTTCCACAATGTGCTCGGTGAACCTATTCTAATAGCCACCAGTTTTTAGAAATAAAACTTGTTCGTTTTTATAAATTTTTTGTGTATTTAGATATCCTTTTCAGGTAAAGTCAAAGCTTTGAATTTCAACGATTGTAATTTATGCGTTCCAGGCACCTCTAGTAGTTTTGTCTTTGCAGGTTGTCGGAAGTCTCAGCCGCCTCCGGTCATGTATGTCTGCTGGCTCATTGCGCGAATTTTATCCGTCCATTCATCCATCGATCCCTAGCACTCGGTATCTTTAAAGGTGTGGTTAAAACCTCGAGTCTCTGGGCGCCCAACGAGTAGCTCGCGGTAATGGGGCACTCAAAATCAGCAGAATTATACTTTCTAAAAGTGAAGTTCAATGTGAAGGTGGTACATAAGTGATCTCTTTATGTCAAGAGTCACCACAGAAGTAGAGGTCGTTTATGGTATACAAGATTGTGCTGGCCTGGTTATCCGATTGCGCAATGTGCACAAACGGAAGATGATAAGAATAAATTGGTTGATGGAAGGAATCTCGTCTTGACGAACGAGAACAACGTAGCTGGAACAGGGCCAGAATAACATATAATCGAACTGAAAAGTCAACAACAATAACAACACGAACTCAAATCAGTTGCAACCTGTCAACAATCACCTTGTTGAGCACCATGCCATTAACAGACGAACATCAAACCCACTGGGACTCCCGCGACACGTATAACATATTCTGGCAAGACCACTATCAACGACCACCAGAAAGCTGGTTTAGTGAATCCCAGAACGAAAGTGGGAAGCGTTGAACCGCAGTCAACAGCCAGCACCCGTGAAACGACCTATTGACGGAGGTTACAAAACCAACGGATAGTA